TTGACTCTGGCAGCGACATCGCTGGAGGATGTGAAACTCTTAAGTGAACTGAGCTTTGAGGTCCCAGTTCAATTTCTAAGTTTCAAATACATGCCTTCTGTACTACTTATCAAACCAAAAGGGAGAAAATATTTGAGAAAATTGTAAAATATCTTTGGGGGGGGAAAATAATACACTTGTCTACATTTCTAGGCCCTATAATCCAGGTAATTATACATTTATTTTCTCTCTATACCAAAGATAATTTTAGTGTAAAAATAATTTGATCTTATATACCCCAAATCAACCTAAGACATGACTATCAGAAAAATTAGCCTTATTTCATGACTTTATAAAATGTTAGTTTTTTCATTTAATTCCAAAGAATGTTACCTTTTTACCAGACATTTATAGGGGGTTTAATCATTCTACAACAGACAGCGTGCCATGTTTGTTCTCAAATACTGACTATATATTCTGGCCCAGTAAATGATTACAGATATGGCTGAAGTTAATTTTGCAATGGGGATAAATGTCCACAGGTAAAAATATAAGCTCTTAAGTGATTAATCCTTGAGATATACATATAATAGAAAAATCTTTAAAGAGTTTTTATACTCCTCAGGGTAGATTAACTTTTCAGAAGTTGGGAAAAGCAAATTGGTTTTCAGACAACAATCTATGAAAGAAATACAGAACACCAAGTATAAGATCAGAAGTTTATAGGTGTTCTAATGAAATGAAAATAATTTGATAAACTATGTACCTAAATGCCTACTCTTAATTTTCCTCAATTCTTAAGATACATCGACATATTCTTCTTATGCTGCAATTAGTATTTTAATATATTGTTTTATAGCAAAGAACTCAATTTAACAAATATTTACTGTTGTGCCCAATATATAATAATAGTTAATTTATATTGAGGGACATACTGTCAGGCTTTGTTCCTATCAATGTACATATATTATTTCATTTACTCCTCAATGATCCTACAGTNCAGGCTTTGTTCCTATCAATGTACATATATTATTTCATTTACTCCTCAATGATCCTACAGTAGGTCCTATTATTATTAGCGTTAGCGTATGTGAATCATATCTGCTTTTGAACTTTAGTGAAACATTTACTTTGCTTCAGCAAATCTATAATGGTAAATTATACAATATTTTAGAGAGAAAGTTACAAGCTTCATAATATTATTTTTATATCATGGTCACTAAAATAATTTTGATATTATGTAACTGGGATGTTCCCAGTATGTAAAGCTGGGAGAAAATGGGCTGAAAAGGAATTATGTAATTCCGTGAATCATACTTACTCTCTGAAATCATTGATAAATAGTATATATGCTAAATGATATTTTGGGGAATCTAANCAGGAGTGTAAATCTTTAGACTGAGTGATATATTCTGATATAACATTTGTAGTTATCTGTAAGCGACTTCAAAAATTATACAGCATGGATCATGTCACTGAGGATTTTATTTTCACTGCTACAACCAATGATCATATCCTAAAACCTCCTTTTCTGCCTCCCACTTTCTAACCTTGACCTCCCCCTCTTTCCAGTTAATTGAATTTGATACACTCTAAGAATTCTTTTGACTCCCTGAGACCTCCAGTCTATGCACCACCGCAATTCTTCTTTCCACATTTTTTCCCACCTCCCTCGTAGCCTTCCTTAGATTTCAGGGCTGGTCAGTAAACTCACTCCCTTGTAAGTACCTCCAAGTGCTACACTCCTTCCCCCTCCATCACACGTGCCTGGCAAATCCCCAAACTTATCTAAACCCAATTCTCCTTATTCCATGGGTGCCTGCCAGTTGATGGAGGAGAAAAGAAAAAAAAAAAAAAAATAGAAGATTACTCTGTTGCCTGGCAAATCCCCAAACTTATCTAAACCCAATTCTCCTTATTCCATGGGTGCCTGCCAGGTGATGGAGGAGAAAAGAAAAAAAAAATAGAAGATTACTCTGTAGATCCATCTCACTTTAAATTTAACCTTAAATTTCCAAGTGAGCACTAAGTTCTACCATAACCTCCATTTCTGCCCCCCCTTTCTAACCTTGAGGTCCCCATCTTTTTAGCTAACCTGATTTAGTTTCATTCACTCTATGAATTCTTTTCATTCCCTGAGACCTCTAGTCTATTCACCACCACGATTCTTCTTTCCACATTTTCCCACCTCCCTCGTAGCCCAGCTTAGGTTTCGTGGTTAAAAAAACCCTAAAGTTCTACCACAGGACACTGGCTTCCTCGCTCTCTGAAGATTATTTCTCACCTTTCACCCTGCCCTTACACTTCCAGTATCCCCCTCTGCCTCACATGGGGTGAACGCACTGATTTCCCTTTTAAAATTATTAGTAATCACTTAAGAATATCGTTTTCCCACCATGAAATGTACCAATCTCCCTGCATCTGTAGCCATATAAGCGAGTTTCTTTTTTTTTTTTGCAATCAGCATTTGCTCTGATTGCGTATAACTTTTCTCCAATCATATATATTCTTGTGCAGTAGTCCAGAATATGTAGTCAATAATTTGAGAACAAATGTGCCACCCTCTGTGTTGTACAATGATTTTCAGCAATGATGAATAACTGTGCACTTGATCACGTTGCTTCATGTCTGCTCGGGGCTTCTGCTGGTTTAATAATCTCTCTCATCCTCTAACAGTTTCCTCTGCCAATTACTGGATCGTCTCCCTTAGCATATTTGCAAATTAAACACTCTCCTATCTTAAAGGCAAATTGAAACCCCAAAACCTACCTCGACCTCTTGTTCCTATCTAGTCACAACCTCATTGATCTACATAGCAAATTACTTAAAATGTTCTACAACCATTAACTAGTTTCCTCCTTCCTCACCCCTTCTCATTTCTTCTGTTTTTTTCCTCTTCTGCTTGACCTTCAATGTTTAGCAAGTCCCAGGGCTTATTTGTCTGCTATCCCTCTCCCTTTCGTCCCTCCCTCCCACCCTCTCTCCATCCCTCCCTGGCATCTGATCCAATCCTTCAACTTTTGAGACACCCAAAGTGCTGGCTTCCCCAAAATTTACACTTCAGCTCTAAACTTTTGCCCGAGTGTTTGATGCATATACCCAAGCTGCTACCCAGCATATCCATTTGTATGTCTAATACACATCTCAAATTTAATGTGGCCAAAACTTTCGATTTCCTTCTCTGTCTCTGATAGTACCACTTACATTCACCACTTGTCTATGGCCAAAAAACTAGGATTCTCCCTTGATTTCTACTCTTTCCATCAAACTGCTATAGCCAGACAATATGAGAGCCTTTCTGGGTTTACCTTCAGAATATTCCTGAATCTGAATACGTCTTACCATAGCCACTGTTATCACTAACTAGTCTGAGCTGACATCTTTTATGCAGCTGTTCTCCCAGCTTCCATCTTTGACCCCCTGTAGTGCAGCCTCAAAAAAATAACCAAAATTATTTTTTCAACGAAAATAAATCAGGTTATACTCTTCCTTGCTTCAAACTCTTAAACAGGAACTACATGATCTGTCCTCCTGCCTTCCTGATCTCTTACATGTTCCCTTACACAGCTTTTCATGATATTCATGGAATAAATCAAGATCATGATGATGTCTCAGGACCTGGACCTACTAGTCCCTATCCCTGGAACAATCCCCCGCTGGATACCTACATGACTTGCCCACTCATTTCAGACAGGTCTCAGCTCACCAGTCACCTACTGAGAAAGCCATTCCCTGAGAACCTTTCTTAATTAGTGCTCTCCTTACCTCAGTCACACTCTTTCTCCTTTCCCAACTTATTTTATTTATTATTTTATCATGCTGACATCCATTTGAAATTTTATCCGAATACTTTCTTTCTTTCCCTCTTTTGCATTTTAGAAATACTGAGCACATATTTTGTGAAAGGCATTGGGCTCTGTGGGGCAGATACATGCATGAGTCAAATAACACAGAGTCCTTCCACTCATGCAGTTTACATCTTAGTAGGAGAGACAGACATGAAGTAACTAATTACATGCATGTTTTTAAATTAGTGCCACAATGGAGAAGTACAGCTAAGACTGACAGTCTGAAGATAATTGATCTGAAAGTCAGGGAACACTCCTCTGAGAAGGTAGTATTTAAGCTGAAATCTAGAGAACTTTTGAGGCAGGGGTGAGGATGGGGTTTGATATTATGAAATTATTCGGGTCCCTGAAAGAGAACTCATTGTAAGGGGCATTTATTGTTAGTTAGCATGCATTTTTGTGTGTGTGTGTGTATTAACATATATACCAATGCTCCTGACTTACAACGGGGTTACATACTGGTAAACCCATTGCAAGTTGAAAATATTGTAAGTCAGAAATGCATTTAATATACGTAACCTACCAAGCATCATAGCTTAGCCTAGCCTACCTCAAACATGCAAAATCATCTAACGCAAAGCCTATTTAAAAATAAAGTGTGGAATATCTCATGTAGTTTACTGAATACTGTACTGAAAGTGAAAAACAAAATGCTGAATGGGTACATGAAGCACGATTTCTACTTAATGTGTATTGCATTTGCACCATTGTAAAGTCGAAAAACTGGAAGTGGAACCATCATAAGTTGGGGACTGTCTATATTAACATTTGCTACTTTGCTGTTGGTTTCCCCACAGAGATAAGCCGTAAGTCCTTAAATCCAAGAGGACCCGTGTGTTCGTTTAAGGGAGAAGCTGAATAATCCCAAGAAGTGGAATGGACAGAGGAAAGATAATTGGGCTATGACCTGAAAGGATACATGAGGCAGGGAGAGATAACCTGTCACAGGAGCAGCTATTCACTTGTTCCTGGCTATTCACTCGTCTTTCAACTACAGTCTACTGATTTCAACTATAAAAACAAAAGCATCAATTTATTTGTACCACAGATGGACACTGTAACAGCTTTTGATTCTGTGCTCCCAACTTTACTAAAATACTTCAAATCTAGTTTTTTTTTGTTGTTGTTGCTTTGTTTTTTAAGTAGAGTTTGAATACATGAATTTTAAAAAGTTAAAAAAAGAAGAAAAGTCTCTAAAAAGTTAGCAGCTAGCCTTGTTCTGAAAATGCACTCCCAGGTAGTAATAGTAGAGACAGGCTCAGAAGAGCCATGTTTATTAACCACTGGAAAGGTTAATAAATTAAATGAACAGAGAAAACGATTTTCAAAACAAATAAGGCCTAGATTTTGGGGTGAGTTAACTTCTTCCTTGTAAAAGAAATAGAAAAGTACCTTCTCAGTAATAAAGAGTGGCAACTTAATCGTTACCAATGAATCTCAATGTTCTGTGAGAAGCATTGTTGGGAATTCAGCCAGACAAAGTTGGAAAAGAAACCAATCTAATTAATGGGACTATTTAACTCTTTCCGATAGGGAGGCGACTATGCATAAAATTGAGTACAAGCATTGGCCTTGGACACCCCAGGGTTTAAAACACTAAATGAATGGTCCTGAGCAAACAACAGAACATTTGTTCTGTAAAGACAAACAACATAACCCACAGTTTGTTGAAAGGAGTAGTGAGTTAACTCTTCTGAAGTATCCAGCACACAATTTGTGTTAAAGAAATGTAGGTTTCTGTCATTGTTTCTAGAAAGGCAGGGGTGGAGACAGTGGGAGAATAAGAAAGCAAACAGGACACTTTTCAAAATGAAGATCTACGTGGGATTAGGGTTAGGAAGACAGCTCAGACAAGTCCCTCTTTCCTTCATGGCCATCTTAAAGCAACGCACCTCTCCTAAGATAAGAAGCTGATGGGCTGGCAAAAAAGAAGCCTCAAAGGAGAGAATAAACTCTCTTTCTAAAGGTAACAGATAAATTTTGACTTTCATATTTTTTTTAAAAAGGGAGAATAAAAGTTAATGCCAATGGAATATAACTAAAACTCTAAGAATTCTTTGAAAATCACCACCATGCTAACATTTCCTGTAAACAAAATTATTCCACCTTATTGGATATTTGAAACAAATATCGTACCTGAGCAATAAAGACACTGGCCATCCACTCCATCTGAGTTTGTGAACTATCACAACACAGGTGCCTGAAAAACAAAGTTTAAAAAATACATAGCTCAAAAAGACAAGACTGTTGTCCAGTGTATTTGTTTGATGACTCAGTGATCAGAAATCTCATTGGGTTTCTCCTGATTGATGATGACTTAATGCACTCAAGTGAAATATTTCAGTACAAGTTGTTTCCATCTTCTGACAAGGGTATGATATCAAAATAACAGTGTAAATATGCTGTTTTAAACAAAATACAGCTGAAGGCTTTGGTAACTGCTGCAAAATAATCAGCAGTATTTTTTGAAAGGTGGAAAGATCAATGTTATTTTGCTTTTTTCCAGGTATATGATGGTAAAATATCTTTTTCCCCTTAAACTATGACTCTAAGAAGAAAAATACGTGCATGGCCTCTTAAGAGCAGATTTTTAAAAATGGCTTAGACAACAGTCTTCATCATAATGATTATAAACACTAATAGCCAAAAGTTGCCAGCTCTTAACTTACCAGTGATGTTTTTCAGAATATGCGGTCAATCCCCAACTGCATCACATAGGAAAAAACACAATATAAATGTACATTGAAAATGGCACATTTGATATATTTTACAAGATTGAGAACCATATTAGATGTTAAGGAGTGAAATTTAATGGTGGAAATGCATAATAGAGCAGATTTCCACAAGTAGTGATTCAACAGGCATGATTTAGCTAGAGGTGAATGCTGAATGTCAAGGGATTTGGCTACACATTTGTATGGGCTGAAGGGAGACAAAGGAAAGGAGCCTTGTGATGATATGGAGCTGAGGGGGATACCTCTGAGAAAATACTCTTAACTGGGTAAGAACAAAAGTCTACAAAAGTGGCCAAAATAAGAAAACGTATATATAGACATACTGATATTGGGGGAGTATGCCAACTGCAACACAGGTATATGTGCTGGGCTTAGAAATTAAGTATGGAGGTAAAAGTGAGGACGTTTTCAGTAATCTCAGAAGTAAGCACATACAGTTCATTAAAATGATTTTTCATGTTAAGAAAAATATTAGTATAAACATTTATTAGCTATTCAAAGTAATTTGTGATAAGAAACTGTGGTATAAACTGAAGGGGACTTCAGAGAGTTCACAGAAAGATTCATATTATCTCTCAGTTCCATTTTTCCACATATTTTTTGAAGTACTCTTGTATATGCTATGGGTTCAGTACTAAATTTGGTACAACACTAAGGGTGAATTGCAGAGCCAGGATATTCTAAAAACATACCAAAATATTCTAAAAGCTAAGCATCAGGAGGCTGCAGGGCAGCATGTGCTCTCCTGTGTTCAGACTTGCCTAAAACACCCCCAGGCTGTGATGTGACTGATCAAGGAATGGGATGCAGAGGACCCATGTACTTCCCAGTAGATGGCACCTTCTTGGGATTTCTTGCTTTACCTAGGGGAGACTGCAATCACCAGAGTTTGATCTGAGTCTCACGAGAACATCATCCCTCCTTGTCTACTCATACAATTTGCTTAATCTGCCTTAGGACCCGTGCCACAGGCAAAGCAATTTAAGGGATTTATCTAAAACTTACTTTATAAAATGTTAGATTCAGGGCTGGCCCGTGGCTCACTTGGGAGAGTGCGGTGCTGATAACACCAAGACCACGGGTTCAGATCTCTATATAGGAATGGCCGATTAGCTCACATGGGAGAGCGTGGTGCTGACAACACCAACTCAAGGGTTAAGATCCCCTTACCGGTCATCTTTTTAAAAAAATTAATAAATAAAATAAAGTAAAATGTTAGACTGATATCACTCATCCCTAAATCCTTGAACGGACAGATTTTCCCATAATTTTTTCAACAGCACTTCCATTTCAAACTTTACCTTGTTGGAGGCTTCATTTTCTTTTTTACTCCAAGATAAAACCTCATTGAACTGAGAGAAAACATTTTGTCATGTTTATTACTCTGTAAGAAAAACAAAATAATTTGCAATTAAACAGATTTTAGATATTTCCTTATATTTTCCCTGAGTATTAATGACCGGGTTTAGAACTGTTTAGTTTCTCCAATGTTTCATAAATATAATACCAAAGTTTTAGTAAATAAGACTGTTTTGATTGCAATGTAACCAAATAAATAAATTTAAGTAGATAATTTTGGATATATGTGTGTATATATATATATCTTTATATAGTTGCATATGTATACACACACACACATAATTCCATAATTCTTAGGGCCAAATGTGCATCAAAAGTGATTTTTTTCCATATATTAAGAATAAAATACAATGCATGTGCCATATGTTATGTAATTTCACAGACCACCAGTGTTGTCTGGGGCAGTACTCTGTATTCAGATATATTCTTATGTCTGTAATGAAATGCACGATATTTCATACACTGTAAGATAAATGAAGGCTAGAAATATTTCCACATTGTTTTGAGTCAGATTTTGCCACCAAATGATTTGTGATTTTCTGTACTTTTTGGATTTCAGAATTATGGAAAACTGACTCTGAACATGTGTGGGCATACATCAAACTATCTCAAGTATCCATATTAATCAAAACTATCATTAATAATGCAATAAGGTAGACTTTCTAAATAAAAGAACCCTCCCAACATATTTATCTGTGATTATGGAAATTCATTACACCCTAATTTAAAAACTTAGTATCAAAACCAGACACATTTCATTATTTACCATTGGATACCCTGTAATAGATTCTACAAAGGTAATAGCCATGGAACTAATTTATAATACAGCATTCCTCATATCCTAAAAATTCTCAAGGGAATTTCTGTTTCAAACTGGTAGGCAGACCGCATTTATAACTAAGAGCAAGGTGTCTGAGGTCACAGAGACCTGGGTATAAATCTGACTTGCTGCTTACTAGTTTGTGATTTCCCATTACTTCTCTCTACCTTCACGTTTTTGTTGGTAAATAGGGAAAATAAAAATATTGACCATTTCATTAGGTTATTGTGAGGATTAAATGAGAACATAAGGAATTACTGTGAAGGGTTATTGTAAAGATTAAACAAGAAAACGCCTGTAAAGGGTTTAGTCCAGGAATCAGCATAAAGTAATCTCACAAGAAATTAAAGCTACATTATAAATTTAGAGCACAACGCCTCATGGAAATCGCCATGTAGATTATTGTGAGGGTCCTAGGACAATGCACAAAAGCCCATGTAGCAAATATGTAGCTCAACTAAGTACTAAGTTCTATATAAGTTAAAATATTATTATAGTGTCTTTTCTTGATGAAAGCAGCCATAAAGTTTGAAAAGTAAAAGGTGAAGAATATGTTTATAATGGGCCGGCCCGGTGGCATGAAAGCAGCCATAAAGTTTGAAAAGTAAAAGGTGAAGAATATGTTTATAATGGGCCGGCCCAGTGGCATCCAAGAGTATGGGGAAGATGAGACTTGCATGTTTGAGGATAAGAGACACTGAGCTTGAACTATACAGTCTTCATTTATACATTGATAAGTCCAGGGTTGCCTGCATTTTGAAGAACTTTTGGTAATAGACTGAGAGCCCGACATAATTTAACTGATTCCCCAATCCACTCCTGGCATGCAAGTTCATTACTTTATACTATATCCTATCCAAAGGAACACAAATGGCATTATTTGAGAGGAGATCAGCAATTGTGGAAAGAAATCTTTCTTCATTTAGCTCTTTTAACTGAATATGCATAAAGAGGAACTATAAAGATACTAATGTAAAGTTTTATAAAAGGAAATCTCATTTGGCAAGATAACTTTACTGCTGGCTTATCACAACTTTCTCTTTTGGTATATATAATTTCTGGAGAATTTCTCCAAAAAGTTCAATACACTAGACTGTTATGAAGGCTGGAATGTGTCACTTGAGTTACTATATTTCAAAGTAAAGCTTTTAACTAAGCCAATTAAATGAGTGTGCTTAAAAAATTACTTTTGTGGCTAAAACGAGTCTGCTTATTAGTGCACGCAACTTTTAATGACCTCCTTTACCCATTTGCTTTTTTTACAGCATTAACAGTGTAATGGCAATATTCTTTGAAACCTCTCACCTTTTATGTAAATCAAGGCTGAAAACATTTTAATTAACATTTTCTGTATAGAGAAAACATGCAAAACAAATATATCTTCCCCTGTGTATTACCCTAATTTGTTGTTAATGAGCATTCATAAATTATCTCTAATTAACACAAAGTCTCTTTAAATGTACTTCTCAATTTGTAATTCCTACTTCCATCTCAGTAAATCATTTTCTAAATATATAGTATCACGCATATCTTAATGGCAACTGCCAAAACCAGAGCCAATTCTTAACTCAAATAAGTTAGGGGATTTTGCTATTGATTATTTACTAAAATAAACTCACTTGTAAAATCACTTGAAAAGTTAACATTGCAAAAGACTTCAACCATCAATATTAACAGGGACAGACAAATAACATGAAAAAATAGCCATCAAAATAAAAGCTTGTGTTGAAAATAATAGTATTTTGAGTTATAACACAAATCTCTCATCTGCTTTTCTTAACATGCAAGTAGCAGCTACATTAATTTATCCTGACAGATGTGCAAATATAACGTTCAAATTCTTAATGATTAAATAATAATTCCATAACCTGAGGTAACTGTGATTTAAAAAAAAAAAAATGTCTTCAGTGTCCTTAAACAGCACTGTCTTTAGATAAGCTCTCCAGACTATCACTACCAACCAGTTTATATGAATTATCTTAGAGTGAGCAGGATGATCCTTTCAAAAAGATTCACATTCTTAAATGAAATTTATTCTATTAAGGAACATGAGATTCTTCATCTTACTTACAAAAGCAATCCATCTTTAATAGTCACTTCTCCATAAACATGCTTTCCTGTGGCAGATATTAAAGTTTACATCAGCTTGAGGGAAAACACTGTGGAAAACTAACTTGTACATATTTCCATATTTGAAAATATTTTGTACTATTTAAATGAAAAAAACTTATCTTCTATAAATAAAATTCTGTCAGAGAAATCACTAGGCTAAAATATTGTAAACTTACTTAGTAAGTTCCTGCATAGAGCCTTTGGAGTCAGATGCCTGGGAATAAATTCTGACTCCATCACTTACTAGGCATGTGATCTTGGACAAACTATGGAATGTATTTGTGGCTCTATTTCTCCATCTGCAAAGTGGGAATAATAATAGTACCAATTTCATGGGGTTACTATAAAGATAAAATGAGATAATAACCACTTGTATTTTAGTTGCTGCTATCATGACTGCACTGCTGTTATTACTCCTACTGACTACTAGTTGTTTCTAGAAACCTTCTGTTGCTACACAATGGAAGGTGTCAATTCCTTGACAGAATTAAAAAGTTCAGGTTGATTTTTAAATGCTCCAGGAAGACATCCAACTGCAAGTGATCCTTTACCAACATATTATGTATATGGAAGAACAAGAATTAAGATAATAAAGTCTATTGAAGATCAAGGCAGGTGGCCCACTGCAGAAAACCAAACAAAATTAAACCAGATTCAGTTCTAGATGATTAGAATAATCAGCAGTGAAGTCTAGACTTTATTTTCATGAACACAAACCTAAAGTTCATGAACCTTAAAACCTGATGCATTCCATTCACATAACCCCAAATTTCAATGTGTCTTATTTCTACAATTTCTACTATTCACCTCCTGATAAAATTGAAGAATAATAAATGATAACAACCACTTGATTCCTTGGCAAACTCCTTTCTGTTTATGTCAGGTGAAATAATAAGGCATGAGTTCAAGTATATTAGTCTGTTTCCATTGCTTATAACAAAATACCTGGAACTGGTTACTTTGTAAGAAAATGAAGTGTATTGCTTACAGTTTCTGAGGATGGTAAGTCCAAAGTCCAGGGAACACATCCAGTGGGGGTCTTTGCGGTGGCAGTAGTGACCCAGGGATCTCACATGACAGAAGATGATGGAGCAGAGAGACTAACCTCTCATGTGCTCTTCTTTCAAAGCCCTCAGAACCACGCCCCTGACCACCATTATTAATCCATTCACTACTATAATCTAATCACCTCTTCCAAGGCCCCACCTTTCAATTATTATAATAGGATTTCCCACCCTCAAAAGTTACAGTGGGGATTAAGCCTCAGTGAGGTTGGAGGTGTATCCAATCTATAGCATCTAGTACAGTATATAACTCTCTGAATAGAGGGATAAAAACTGCAAAATTCAGGGTTGTTTCGCTAGCCTCCTGCCTAGACATTCCACTGTCCTTGAAGAAAGACAACACAGGCTTCATATGCAAAGTAAGAATGATAGTAACGTTTATTTGTGCCCACAAATAAACAATTTATGAGAGTTCTCGTTAATCTACGTCCTTGTCAACATTGGATGTTGTCACTATTATGATTTTAGTCATACCAATGCATGTAAAATAGTATCTTGTGATTTTAATTTCCTTATAATTAATGACATTGACCACTTTTGGTTCAATGGCTTATTGGCAGTGTCTACATCTTTCTTCATGTAGTGTCTGTTCAATCCTTTGCCCAACTTTTTATTCGGTTGTCTTTCTTCTTGTTGATCTGGAAGAGTTCTTTCTGTTGTGGATATGAGTCCTTCAAGTAGATGTACTAGGAATATAATTTTCTCAACCTAGGAGTTGCCTATTCATATTCTTAGTGGTGTCTTTTGATGAGCATACCATTACTACTATACATATTGACAAAATGTTTCATGGTTTAAACAGAACTTTCATATATATTATTATTTAAGCATTAAAACAACCTTCCATGCAGGACTTATACCACCATCATCATATTTCAGATTCAGAAGTTGAGGTTGAGGGGTTAAGTTACTTATTCACACAAACAACTCAGCAGAGATGAGATTTTCTGTTGCTAAATTCAATATCCTTATAACTATTTCATTTATCTACTCCCTGTTTTTTTATCTGTTTTCTTCTCCATTCTACAGTTCTTTAGTACTTATTCACACAAACAACTCAGCAGAGATGAGATTTTCTGTTGCTAAATTCAATATCCTTTTAACTATTTCATTTATCTACTCCCTGTTTTTTTATCTGTTTTCTTCTCCATTCTACAGTTCTTTAGTAAAAGCTTTTAGAAAATTCAAACTTATAGGAAATACATCAACAAGATTCAATCAATATTATATGCATGAATCAATTCATTCAAACATATAGGAAAGAAATTAATTATTTATTTTAAATTTTGGATGCTGACATTTGATTCCACCTTTTATTAACTTCTATTAGCTAAACTCAAGCCTTCTTTACCTTAGGAAATAAAATATGCTCTCTTAATTTTATTGATTGAGATGCTGATTTATATGTTAGTTTATGTAACACATATTACACTTTTCTTTAGGGCCTACGTCATTCTCTGTCCTAAAACATTTGAGATACTTAGAAACGTCAAATGAACTTCTTACTGAGTGCATATTCCAGAGGCTGAAAGAGATAAATCATCAGCTTACCATATATTTTATTAACCACAGGCAGCGACTTTCAAGAGAGATGGCTGAGAGTGGTATAAAATAAAAATGAAACCCAGACAAATAAAAATGTATGCATGTTCAAATACTGCTTATACAAATACCTTCACATCCTTGTAGAGAAAAAGATATCCATCTCGTAAAACAAAATAACGGTCTTGAAACTTATTTCCAGACAGTATTTTAGAGGGTTCTTCTTTGATTTTCAAGACTCCTTCTTTGATACTTTCCAGGGCACTCCTCTCTGTAAAGTACACCAGTAGTTTTGTAAGTTGAGTACATTTTCACTTATTTGGAATACAATATAAAACATTCATATATTTTCAGTTTTAATAAGATAAAGTAATAACTTGTTTTTTTTTCCACTTCACAGCCTAAGGTGAATTTCTGGGAACACCAGGTATCAGAAGTATTACTATTTACCACATATAGGCCTGCTTCTGCTGTCCAATTAGCCATGGGGTTGTGATGCAATGTGATTAGTCCAAATTGACATGTGCTGTAAGTGTAAAATGCACACCAGATTTTGAAGACTTCGTACAAAGAAATGAAAGTGAAATATCACAATTTTTAAATCTTGACTACATGTTGAAATGATAATATTTTGGATATTTGAAGTGAAATAAAATATAGTAGTAAAAGTAATTTCACCTGTTTATATTTTTTAAATGCAGCTATTCGGCAATTTGGAATTACACATGTGGCTTTCACTATATTTCTTTTGAATAGCAATGATACGAACAATGTAAATACACAGGTAGAAAGAAAAACACCTTCAGGAATTCTGACTCAGGAATCCAGGAATTGTTAAGAGATTACAGACATTCGGCAATTTGGAATTACACATGTGGCTTTCACTATATTTCTTTTGAATAGCAATGATACAAACAATGTAAATACACAGGTAGAAAGAAAAACACCTTCAGGAATTCTGACTCAGGAATCCAGGAATTGTTAAGAGATTAGAGAAAGTCTTATAAATATGAAACAGCTTACCTGTTAGAGAGGCATAATTACTAAGATAAAACATTTAACAACAATTATATTTCATATGCAATACAGTGTGCCACACTGAGAAATCGTTTCAACTTATTCTATTAAAAAAAACTTTTTGGTGAGAACACCAAATTCGTATTTGTATTTTATTGTGTATAAATTTATCAATATATCTCCAGTCTAGAACTTGCCCCTGAAATCCTGAAATATCTTCAACTGCCTAGTCAAGAATTGAAGAACAGTAAAAAGAAAAAGGAACCTCAAGCCAAATAGCCATGACACAGACATTATGGTGTGAGCTTCTGCTTTTCCTGTAAAATAGGAGTAATGACACCTCTCCTGCAGGATTGTTGTGACCCTAACACTAGCTAATGTACACAAAAGATGTGGAGCAGTCCTATATCCAGACTAAAACCTTTAGCAATTTCCTGGTATTAAGGTGATATAATTTTAAATATCCATGCATAGTTTCTGAAATTTACAAAATAACTTGAAAGGTTTTACAAACAACCATTAGTCTTAAACCTTACAAGCATTGGTTCTTTTGGGGAAAACTTTTACCTATATAGCAAATAGTACATAAATATTCACAATTATTATTAGCATAAGAAAATAAAAGTTAAAAAATAGAAATAGTTCTATTTTTTATGGAATAACTAACTGGAAGCAAAATTCCCCAGGTTTAATCATGTCACTGATCCTCACCACAAACGTAATTAACAAATACCAATGTTTTTCGTGATATACATACTGACTACCCACAGCATTTTCTTCATCACACTGCCATATCAATAGGTTCTTTTTAGGTACTTTGTGACTTTACTGAGAAACATACTTCTAAAATTTGTCTTCTGATACAATCGGTTAATATTCCACAGAAAAATATTTTAAAGAATATTTTATAGCTAAATAAGAAGAATAAGTAAGTATAAGTAGTATAGTAAGAAATTTAGAAAACATTGGATGAACTTAATGATTCAGCTGATTTAGAACAGGAAAGTGAAAAAGGCATTTATAATATTTATGGTTTAGAAATAAGTATTTTTAAAAGCATGAAATAAGTTACCGTAAAGTTGTAAGACACAGATATGATATATGGCTTATATCAGACAAAATCCACATATACCTTCTGATAGTATCTTTTTCATTTAGATTTTTTTTGAAATTAATAAACTTTTCAAATTTTACCAATAAGAAATAAGCATATTGTCTAGTGGCTGAATAAACCATTCATAGGTCAAAGACAAAATAGGCTTAGAGAAAAAATATTATTTCGGTCTTTGGGTGCATATTTGTTAAAGTTTATTTCAATAAGCTTTGTATGTAATTGAGTTTATTAGTTAAATCTTGGAGCATACATTATTAAGGGTCTCAGGAGAAAAGCTTTAAGGGGAATATATGTTCATAATGAGGGTAAAACAAAAGGA